CCCTATGACAGCTAAAGCTTCCTAAAGAGAAGATAGCAGAACAATGTTCAAACTGGACATGGAGGGTAGGGGGAAGAGTAGGCAGGAACATCCCTTTGGGATGAATCAATGGTAGCAAATGAGGTGAAAATGGTTTAATTGGTCTGATCAAGAGAATCCTTAATCCTCTAACTAAGAAAGATCAAATCAGAAAAGAAGAACAGTGGTGGATGAAAAAAACCAGTAGACACACCTTTCCAGGCTTCTACTGTCACCCAAAAATATTCAAGCCCAACATACCTCTTTGTCCAATTGTATCATTTACTAGGGACCCCAACATAACCAAAGCACTTACAAAGGAGCTTGGACATCTTACCCTCACAGTGCAATCTACTATAAAAGATTGTCATGGGGAAACCCTCCCCCATAGCATTTTGGAATTTTAAAATCTCCTTTTGAAACCAGATTAAGTTAATTGGTTGTCTGACATTAAAGGCAGATGGTTGTGTTCTCAACATACCTTAATCTCGTAGTAACTATAACAAGGTATGTGTTAATTTCTTTCTGAGTTGACCAGCAAATGCCTGGGGGTAGATTGAGAACAGAAAAAGGAAGTATTTGTCCCCTGTACAAATTTAATTAGCTGAATGTGCTTTTATAATATACAATTATGTATATTATAAATATCCATAGAAGGATGATTTAAAGGGATCCAGATAAATCATTGGTAAATATCAAGGGCTATAATTGTAATAAATTTATAAAAACTTAACGTTTAGAATCTGCATGTAATTAAATCTGGTTGCTGTAAAAGATAATGAAAGTGAAATACTCTAGTCAAGTCCCTCTTTGGGTCTTGCAAGAAGCATCTCTCTGGCCACTATTATAAGCAGGAAGTTGGGTTAGAGAGATCCCTAGTCTGTTCCTCCACAGCATTTGTTAAGTTTATGTGTTCTCTTAGAGTTCTGCCTTGTAGAACTGATTCAATCACTGAGGTAACCTTCTTCTGGTAGGAAGAGTATTGGATACCCCCTGCATTTTAACAGCTCTATCACTCCCTCATGCCTTATGCTTGTATTTCCACCATCTACGTAAGATGTTTAACAAGCCCCTTTGTAACTTAGCAGATTTTTTTTCTGGATGTGTGATTCTAAAGCATGCATTTCATTAAATTGGTTTAATTAAAATATGGAAGTATTTAATTAACTCTGTGGCCCTCTGCTGCTTTCATTGCTATCCAGGGATATTTAGAAGCCTAGCTAGCAATACCAGCTGGTCATTTGGAGGCCAATTGGTATGCCTGCTACAATGAGGCCTTGGCATAAATGTAGAGGAGCCCAGAGAAAGCAAGTAGCAAGTGAGTTTGCCTAGACTTCTCTGATGCTCCATCTGGGATGTGGAAAGAAATCCCTTAAGGGGGTCTTTTAGGAATGCCTGAAAGTAGGGACAATCTATAACTGTGAAATAAAAATGGGGAAATAGAGCCTCCTAAAAAAAGTAAGCCTAAGATTTTTATCCTTATGGTGAGGAGAGCAATGTGTCAATGATGTTTCATTAAATCTCTTAAGCAGAATTAAATATTGGGTGACATGCTGAATTTCTAGTGGACAGGGGTAAAATTTACATGCCTTGCCTGACAGCTTCCATCCTTTTAGGGTCAAGAAGAGAAAATAGAGCATGTGCAATTGAACCAGTCAGACAGCCAAGATTGAAGAATAGCATAGCATAGCATAGCATAGCATAGCATAGCATAGCCCGGGTACTAGATTCCTAGAATTCCCAATCCAACATAGCTGGAGTTGGGGAAAATATTCTGGACAAGGACTTCAATATTATTCCTTTAGTTTGAAGAATTCGCCTTAATGTACATACACTACACAAACACAGACATACACACACTCTGTTTCAAGATGATATTGTTCTTGCTAATACCCCAATAGAGGATCTCCAGCTCTTATTGAGGATTGCTCAGCCTCCTGATTTATCTGCAAAGTTATCTAAAGGAAATGACCTGGAAAACTTGTAGCTCTTAGCGTGGACTTGCTCTGTTCTTCCTGGGGAAATAGAGCATCTGTCTTTCTAGTAAATGCCCATATGCTTGGGTCCCCTATACTAAAGATTCGCTGTTCATCAGAGAGCCTTTGGCAAATGTATTGCAACTCATAGTAGTTTCTTGCTTCTAACAGCCCATGATGCTGATGCTAAGAATTTCAGTTCATTAATTCAAGAAGAGTCTTAAAAGGGACTCCTGTCTTCATCTTTGGTGGCATTATTTGCAGTTGAATCTTCCTTGACATTTCTAATCTTCTGAACAGATTTGCTCCTCTTAAGAGAAATCTACCTAGCGATAAAGCTTCAGGATAGCAAAAGACAGTACAAAGCACGATCATTATTAAACCCAGAGGAGCCCTGTTAAGGTTATTTTGGCACTCTAGTAGTCCCTCAAGATTTCATTTTTTATTTTATTTTTTGTGTCAGAATTTTTTTTCTCCAGGGTCCACTTAACCAAGTTATGAGAAAAACTAGGTGGTCACGTAAGTGGTCGTCACATATTCAGCTTACTTTTTCTGACTTCCAGGGATGAAACATTCATCTATTAGCTGTATCCTTCATTTTTGCCTATCTCATGGAAATTACTTGAATCCAGGGGCAGAAGAAATCCATTCCAGTATGATTCTGTTCTTTGAAATAACATTCTGTGCATAGAAATGTGTTAATTAAAATATATGTGACCGGGTAATACCATTTCATCTTTAGCTCCAACTCGAGTGTGAATTTAATTAGTCCCTGATCTGACAACCAGCTATCTCAGATAGAATTATTGTGAGATGGATAAGAGGTGGAAAAAGCAGGTTGCTAGTTAACCTCTACTCATGTCCTAAATTCACGAAGCATGTGTGTTGGAATTTAAATCTTCCTGAAATCTATATGGGAACAGTGGATTATAATCTGAATGCTGTTAGGATAATGGATTCACATTTGCCTTCTCATCAGACTACATTACTGTCTCCATCAAGAAGATGAGGGAGCTGGACACAAAACATATTGAAATTCAGAATGTATTGGCTAATCGGATGTGGCAAAAAAAAGCATTATGGAAAGAGAGGGTAGAGTAAATTAGTCCATTTGTATGATGATGGGTAAATTGCAATTCCACTAGGGAGAAGGGGATGAATTGTAAAACAATTTTTCTGAAGGAACCAGAGCCAGGTGGAATTGAGATGCTACTCTGGGTCCATCTGCTATCATGAACATGTAACTTACTTTATTATCAGGCTCTTTGTTTTGAAATAATTAATTTTACTTCTACACAAACTACTATATTTGTGTAGAAATGGAGAAAATTATAAACATGCACTAAGATGTGGCAAAGTTTCGATCTTTCACTACTTTTAAGGTATCTTTGAGGGTGGGTTTTTTTCTATCTCTGTTTTGTTGATTGTGTTTTGACCCATGTGGGATCGTTAAATGAGCTAAATGGCCAAATATATTTTATAACTCAATCAATCAATGAATCTTACTTGTATGAAAGGACAAATTATTTAAATTCACGTTAAAGTTCATGAAAATTCATGTTCATGGACCACTGATTACATTATGAGCTTGCTTTTATGTTATATATTTTACTTAGCTTAGTACCTTTGAGAGTTTGAGAGGCAGTTTGGTGCAGTGGTTTAGGCATCAAACTAGAAACCAGGAGTGTGAGTTCTAGTCCTCCCTTGGGCATGAAGCCAAATGGCTGACCTTGGACCAGTCACTTTCTCTCAACCCTAGGAAGGAGCAATCAATGGCAAACCACTTCCGAAAACTTTGCTAAGATAACTGCAGGAACTTGTCCAGGCAGTCTCTAAAAATATTATTCTAACTGATTAGCATTTAGGCTTAAATACTGTTCTATAGTGCTTTACAACACTCTCTGAGAGATTTATAAATGTCAGCATAATGCCCCCAACAGTCTGGATTCACATTTTACTGACCTTGGAAGGATGGAAGGCTGAGTCAACCTTGAGTCCCATCAGGATCAAACTCCAGGCTGTGGGCAGAGTTTGCCTGCAAAACCATACTTTAACCACTGTGCCACAGGGCTCTTAATTAGTGGACCCTATTTGCTATATATGGGGCAAAAAAGTGGCTTTAAGTGAGAGTTGGTTCTTTGCAAAGAACTCCTTGGTGTCAAAGAGTAAATCCAATGGCAGAAATGTATTTGGTCATTTCCCAAAGATATCCTCCTGCATCAAAAGGAATTGATCTAGAAGGAAATAAAAATATGTGCTAATTGACATCATTGGACAAGGAGGCAAGCCAGTAATCTGTATTTGCTTTACTCTGGATCAACTGAATGCTCCATCTACTTTTCGTGCTAAGTGTGGATTGTTTCTAAGTAAGGAAAAGCATTGTCTGGTTCTTAAAAACCCTTAGATGCAGGCATGACTCGAGGGTGTCCTTTCAGCAATATTTCACAACATGACTTATTGAGGGGGAAACACCTTGGGTAACTGATCTAAGAAAGATCCTTTTTGCCTAAACCCTAAGAGGGCTGGTATGAATCATAAAAGTTGGATTTGGAGTCAATGCATTTATACTTTGAATCATGGTTTCAAACAATATACGCTCACTCTGTATGCACAGTTCACTACTTTTAAAAATTGTTTCAATGTGTTTTTGGTATCATATAATCTGTAAGCAAATTTTTGTGCCTGTTTACATTGTTGGGAACTAGCTTGGACATTTCCAGCTTAGAAAAATGAACATTGCATTAGTGAAAAAATATAGCTTTATAGAGAAACAGACTGTGTTTACTACATCATAGTATAATAGTATTTAAGTATCTCCTGGAATAATCTTGCTTGGCCCATTAAAAGATGCTTAGTGTGAGGTTAACCGCAGAGCTTTCTTAAAATGCTACAGTCGTCGTTCTTCTTGTCCATGACCTACGTAAGCTCCTAATTTGAGAAATGCCTTCTGTAGGGAGAAAAGAACATGATATTTTCATGGCTCATTATCTTCATTTTTCTTTTCAGGCTAGTGGGAGTCTGTTCCAGGTGCGAGTAGTTGGAGGATCTTCTCTGTGCAGCTATCTCTCGCCTCAGGACAGACGGCCACTGTATCATCCTGCTGTGGACAGGTAAGGAAAGCGAAGTGCTAGAAATTAATGACTAAAAGGAGCCTGCAATCAAAGTTTAGGAATGAGAATCCTACCTAAATTATTTCCTGCTAGAAAGCATCTTCTTTTTCTGAGCCACGCCTTTTAAAATTTGTCTAATTCCTCTTTCTTCCTTCTCTTTCTGCCTAAGCATCAAAAAGAATCCTCTGCATTATGGGAGAAGACAATTTGTTTATAAATAATTACTGCAATGTATTCACTTTCAAACTCTGCTGTCTTCTTGAGTAGATCACAGTTTGTATAAGCGAAATCCTCCATTCAAATACATCATAAACATAATACGCAAAATGGGATGTTAAAATCCTACCTTTTACCAGTTCAACTTGAATACTTGGTATTCCTCACTCACCTCGCTGAGATGGGTGCTGTAGAAACCAAATAAATAAATAAATAAATAAATAAAAATAGCAATATATTGAATATTCAAGCTGAGTTTTGGCAAGATTAGGGGAGTATCAGAAGAACAGAGCTGGAAGGGATCTTGCAGGTCTTCTAGTCCAATCCTCTGCTCAAGCAGAAAACCCTATACCCTTGGGTCTCCAACCTTGGCCATTTGAAGACTAGTGGATTTCAATTGTCAGAATTCTGGGAATTGAAGTCCACTAGTCTTCAAGTGGCCAAGGTTGGAGACCCCTGCCCTTTACCATTCAAACATGTCACTGCCCAATCTCTTCTTAAAAACCTCCAGCGATGAAACACCCACAACCTCAGAAGGCAAGCCTTTCCATTGGTTAATTGTTCTCACTGCTAGGAAATTTCTCCTTAATTCTAGGTTGCTTCTCTCCTTGGTTAGTTTCTGCCCATGGTTTCTTGTCCTGTCTTTTGGTGCTTTGGAAAATAGGTTGACCCCCTTCTTATTTGTCGGTAGCCCCTCAAATATTGGAACATTGCTATCATGTCCAAAGGATCCATGTCCAAAAGGACAAAGGGTTTTGCAGTTGTAAGGCAGCAGCCAAATTTTCCTTTCTACCTCAGGTACTGCATGTATTTCTCCAAATCTATCCCAAGTCTTCTGACTCTGCTGATCTATACTCTCTTGCTGTGATGTTTGATTTTCAACATTAGTAATGAACTGGCATTGTCACTGCATCCAAAGGCAGTAGCTGGCTTAATGGATAGAGGCAAAGCTATCTGCCGATACAGCACTGCCTGTCCATGTCTTAGCAGCTACTGCCAAATATAGTTACCTTCCTCTTCCTACTGAGAGGAGTAACCAGTTAGCACCTGTATAGTCTTAATGTGTTTGTCACTTTACAGTAACAAGACAACAACCCGGCTTTGAAGAAAATACAGTTAAAAAAGCAGAATGTTTGAGAAATGTTTCTTTTGCCTATTGGAGCAGAAAGTAAAAGGGACAAATAAAATGGGATTTATCTCTCAGCCAGTAATCCCATCGCACACATGCACGCACGCACACACACATGCACGCAAACCACAACCACACCACAATGCCAAGCATGATTTTCTCTGCAGTGTTGTTGGTTGTTCATACTATCAAATATAATTCATTTGCTTATGCAAACATAATCTTTTCTTTTACAAAAAGGTGGAAATGGTGCCAAGGGGCTACTGGGAAGGAATGGGGGAAATGAATGTATGGCGTTCAATTAGATGTAGTGTGTGTGTGTGCGCGCGCGCGCGCCTTCAAATCAGCATTGACTCCTGATGGCTGCCTGGACAAATCCCTGCAGTTTTCTTGGCAAGATTTTGGAAATGGTTGCCATTGCTTCCTTCCAGGGGCTGAGAAAGAGTGACTGGACCAGGATCACTCAATTGGTTTTGTGCCTAAGGCAGAATTAGAACTCCGTCTTTGGGGTTCCAGGCTGGCACTTAGCCACTACAACCAACTGGCTCTCTTTATTTTAGGGAGCGGGGGGGGGGGTTTTGCGGGGAAGAAGTTAAGACTGTTGCATTTTACATTCAGGGTCTGAAAAATGGACCAGCATGTGGGACATCATTTGACTCCTTGCTTCCTGATATCTCTAACAAGTGTGTGTGCGCAGCCCAACTACTTGTGGAGGAATTTTATTATGACGATTAAAAATGTAGATGATGAATGAGCTCTTCTGTGGGAGGAGTCTGCCCCCTGCTGACAGCTAGGCAATACTGACTCTCATCTGTGGTGTGGCTTTTTGTGCTAGTATTGGAGCCAAGGCCTTTGGTGTATTAGTCAAAGAGCCTTTGTGGAGTTCAAGGATAGCAGACTCTACTTTAGAGTCACTATAGGTAGACTTACAACCAGAGTGTCACAAGTCATAATGGTCATAAGTCAAGGCACCACATGACCAAGTCGATTTTAAAACTCCTTTTGTGGTGGTTAAGTGAACATAGTAGGTCATCTAGTATTATGTTAAACAAATGTAACTGTCATTAAGCAAATCTATTCATTACCGTGGGTGTTTTTTTGCCAGAAAGTGGCCGAAAAGGCTGGAGACCTGCAAAAAATATCTTAAGCTGCAGTCACACAACTGCGCAAGACTGCAACAACTGTAAAACTGGTTGCCAAGCACTCAGATGTGATCAGGGAGTTTTGCACCACCACCAGATTCCACAACCGCTTTGTATGCAGTTTGGAGAAGTTCAGTCCTAACTTTGGACAGTCGCTAAGTGACCTATTGCTAAGTGAAGACTTTACAAGTAGTTCTTGAGTAACGGCCACAATTGAGCATAAAATTTATGTTGCTAAGTGAAATATACGTTAAGTGAGTTTGTCTCATTTTACAACTTTTCCTGCCACATTGGTTGAGTGAATCACTGCAGTTGTTAAATTAGCAGCCCTGTGGTTAAGCGAATCTGGTTTTCCCCATTGACTCTCCTTGTTAGAAGTTCACAAAAGATGATCACACGACCCTGGGACACCGCAACCGTCATAAATGTGAACCAGTTGTTAAGCATCCCAATGTAAGCCATGTGACCATGGGGATGCTGCAAAAAATGATCATGTCACTTTTTCAGTGGCATTTTAGGTTTATTAGATTATTAGATTTAACTTCAAACAGTCACTATTGTAAGTCGAGGACTACCTGTATATCATTTTATGTAAAAATAAATAAATAAATGTAAACAATGAAGCAAGGGGGGGGGGAAACATAGAGTTTCTTGATTTGTAAGTCTAACAGGAGCCATAGAAGTCATACATAGGCCTGGAATCACAGGTGGTTATTTAGCAGGTTCTGACCATTTCTGGAGAAGGGGAACTTTTGAGTCGTTCAGAGAACCAGTAAACACCACCTCTGACTGGCCCCACCCCCATCTATTCTCTGCCTCACGAGTCCCCGCTGTTTGGGAGGGAATGGGGATTTTGCAGTAGCCTCCCCCCCCCCCCCCCACCAAGCCACACCCACAAAACCGGTAGTAAAAAAAATTGAATCCCACTACTGCCTGGAATATGTTTATTAGGGGTATCTCTGAATTTCCATATATCTTGAGGCTTCCCATCAGCCTCCACTGTGACTGTACTTCCTGACCCACAATTTTTCCATGGCTCATGAAATTCTCCAAGCTTTAATGAATCATTTATTTGAATTGCATCGCTCGAGGCTGCTCTTCAAGAACTGGTGGTATTACAACCATCACCCCCTCCCCCGCGTGCATCTAACAGCTTTCTTTTCTGACAGAGCACTGCAATTTGGAGGTCCCGGCGGCCCTGTTCACGTGAAGCTGGTAGTCGAATGGGATCTGACCACCAAGGAATGGTGAGTTTGTGTTGCCGACTCCATTTGTAAATGATGAGAGCGGATGGGTTTCTCTGACTATTCGTAAAAGGCAGAGAGGTGGTTTCCAAAAAGACTTTCATTATAGCTCAAATTGCTCATGATTCTTTCTGACTTCAGATATATATGCATAGCATGCATGGAAAGAGAGAGGGAGGGAGGGAGGGGGAAAGATGGGAAATTTTTATTCCATTTACCTGGAAGATGCCAGGTTGGGGAAAATTGCTATGTAAAATGTATACCTGGTATTTAACCAAGCCTATTTTACTACAGTTTCACCTCCCCGCTTCCAGCATATTTTAAATATACTAATGCATATATAATGTCTTGCTCGTTTTTTTTTAATGTTGCCTCCATTTTTTATTTAATTTCAAGATAATATGAAACAGGACGAGGAAAAGCAACAGTGTAGTTGACATTTTTATTCCTCATTAGTAACTTAATAGGATGGGTGCATGTGGTCTATCAGCATACTTGCTAAAGACCTCAGCTTCTCATCTCCTAGTGTTCCAGTGTTTTTTTAAAAATAGGTATCTATCAATTATGCTGACACAAAATGGCAGAATAACAGAGTTGGAAGGGACCTTGTTGGAGGTCTTCTAGTCCAACGCCTTGCTCAAGCAGGAAACCCTAAATCATTTCACAAAAATAGTTGTCCAATCACTTCTTAAAAGCCTCCAGTGTTGGGACACCTACAACTTCTGGAGGCGACTCATTCCACTAATTAATTGTTTTAACTCTCTAGTTAATTTCTCCTTAGTTCTAGGTTGGTTTTGTGGTGTAGTTTTGATGAGATTAGGACTTCTCCTTTCTTCTAGCTTGTTTGAGAGAATAATTCCCTCCTGCATCTACAGAACTATGGAAGAAGGTTGTAGCAGGCACAGAGGGTGACTGAAGAAAATGCCACTGTAGAAAATTCGACTGCAATTCCTCAACAGCTCACCAAGAGGCATCAGCTATTTTTAGAGTGGTCTAATAAGGACTTTCTGGAGGGAAGAAAGAACATGATTACTCAGGGTTCCTCTAAATTGAAAAACGAAATGGATAAATATGAACAAAATTGAAGCATTCCTGCCTTCTCTTAATATCTCATTTACGGAATCAGAATCACTGTAGTAGTACAAGCCAGGAATAGTTGTAACACTATATCCCCTTTGAGTGACACTTGATTTAGAGCAGGGATTGGCTGCATTTTTAAGTGAGGAGACATTTGGTGTTGTGTGGAATTGTAGGACTGCCCTCCAAGATGTGATGGTAGCCAAGGGAAAAAAGAGCCAGGGTTAAGATTAAAATCTTAAGTAACAAATATAAGCAACATTGCTTTGAAGTGTAACTCAAATATAATACTTCTAAAACAGTACATTGTAGAAGAGTCAGAAATGCCGACGTGTTGCAGAGCTTACCGCTCAATATTGGCTGCAACATTGGGGATGAGGCAGGTTCTGACAGGTTCTGGAGAATCAGTAGCGGAAATTTTGAGTAGTTCAGAGAACCGGCAAATACCACCGCTGGCTGGCCCCAGAGTGGGGAGGGAATAAGGGATTTTGCAGTATCCTTCCCCTGCCACCCCACCACATCACGACCACAGAACCGGTAGTAAGAAAATTTGAATTTCATCACTGGGCTGAGGCTTGGGCAAGCGGCAGAAGACCACTAAGAGAGCGTTCTGTAGATTGTCTTTAGTGACTCTTATAGAGTTCTTCAAATTGCTTAGCTTACAAACTTTGGAGGACAGTCACGCAATGGGTTGCATGAGGGTTGCATACTTGAGAGACAGCAAAATATCATACTGCTTCCAAAGAGCAGGAGATGAAAATTCACTTCCTGTATTGCAGCCTCATCAAATTCGACGTTTTCAGAATCTTCTAACATCTCAGAAGAGCCTTGTCTTTGACACAAATTGAAATTCTCCTTCGTGAAGAGCACTCATCTGTGCTAAGAAAACAGTCCCCCGCTTGTGCTTTTGGGACTAGGTCTGTGTGAAATTCACACAATGCTTTCTCAACCCCTTGAATATTGAAGAGTTAGTGTAACTTTAATTGGGCTTTTGGAAAACCAACCCAGGACTTGCTTTGAGATCTGTCTAGCTTAAATGAAACCGAAGGCCCGCACAAAGTGCAATCCCCGCGGAAGACTGGAATATTTCTGACCTGTCCCTTTGCATTTTTGCAGCTTGTTTGGCAATATCCAGGAAGAAGTTGTTGAAGATGCAGAAAGTGTGAGAATGAAGCAACAGCTTCATCAACAGCAGCATAGCTGCACCCTGAGTGAATGCTTCCAGCTCTACACTAAGGAGGAACAGGTACCCTTGGATGAGGGTAAAGGCGGGCTATAAGCCCAACTTGGCATTATAGAGCTTACTAGAATAGGACCATCTCTGCCACAAGGCAAGGTGTTTCTGAGCAGGAATGGAATGTCCATCTGCTTGGCTCTTTTCCTGCTCGTGGCCAAAATACCTAATGGGATTCTGGAAGAGGTGGGGATAGACAGCTCCTCTCAATTGGGCCATTCAATCCCAGGCTCCTGTGTAGTTGTACCGCATCTTCCTTTGCAGCTGGCTCCAGATGATGCCTGGCGCTGCCACCACTGCCAGGTCCTTCAACAAGGCATGGTCAAAATCAGCCTGTGGACCCTCCCTGATATC